ATTGCAATCTGTTTTCACAAGCCCACTGTAGTATTTTATTTTTTTAAGTCCATTACATGTCATGGTAGGATACATAGATAGATGGATAGATACAACACAAAGTAAAGAGACATAACAATCTATTAATGCTTTCACTATCAGTTTAGTAATACAGTAGCAATGCAACAACAAATAAAACATCTAACCCTGGAAACTGATTATATATTCAAACCTCAAACACACCCTGCGTTAACATTGTTGTTTTGTTTGATCTTCCGGATTTCAAAGAGGAGGGAGAGGCATCCTACCATCGGATAGACCCTGACAATAAACTCCATGGAGGAAGAGCTTCAGGGACTTGCTGCCTTAACTGCAGGAAAGCTGCATGTGTGCGGAACACGAACAGGCTTGTCAGGCTGCCCTGTGATACTGTCTTTAGATGCGCACAAAGAACTCGCAGTAAAAGCAGTTTCACTAAAGTACTTCCTCACTGCGAAAGGGGCACAGTGTGAACTTCGTTTCTTTTCATTACTTATCAGGCGAGCCAACCCTTCAAACATCTTTTTTCTGCTAGGTGCCACAACCCTGAGAAAAGCAACGCTGGTGATAGATGTTATTAATCAATTTAAGGGAAAAAAAACACAATCATTTTTATTTTTTTTTAACTAAGTTTAAAAGCTTAGTCAAGCTGTGGATGTATTCGCTGTGTGGTCTGCATGATCTGAAACGCTTTACTCCAAACTAAAAACCTCAAACCTTTTCACAAGTCTTTCCATTATATTTGTACAGCCAGAGTTTAACACATTTGTCCCTGGATCTCTGATGACTTTTGATTCTAATAATCCTCCGTTTATTCCCGTCTCTCCTACGAGGGGGTCAGAATTTTATATAACTCAGTAGGCGCATTGCTAAATACTTACACAACAAATGACATTCCTATCATCAGTAGCTGCAGTTTGTGCTTCATACTAACTAGGAAATATTAGCATGTCGAGTGGGTAAACTTAAATGGTAACCCTATAACATGCTAAGCATACCGGGTTCAGATAAAGTGTTTCTCTGCAGAAATAAACAGAGTACCAGGCACTGAAAAAAGTCATTCATTTAAGCTATGCTGCACCAAAGAAGAAGAGGCCACAGTACATTAGAATTAAGTATGTAGTGGATTATAATGCCTTCCATATAATTTATTGTTCACTTATACTTTCTTATTTTTCTTACTGTGTGGAATTGGGGGGATTGACTTTTAAAACAATAATAAATCCAGTATTTATATCACGGGTCATTAACAAGGCTGGTTATTATGATCACCCTGAGCCACTGTCTCCAAGCTCCCATATAAAGAACTTTAATGATTTGGTTTATTTTAAAACAATGCAAATAATGTTTAACACTAAATTGAAGTTATTTAGGATTTTTCTCAGTACAGGAGCGTAAGTAAGTCATTTGAGAGAATTTTGTATTTTAACTTAATAAAAAGAACTAAAAAGAGATTAAACAAAGATGTATTTCTGTTGTTTGGGTTAAATTGTGGACTGATGGTGATACGTGCTTCAAAAAGTGCAATTGTTTGTGGTCTTCAAAGGAAGGCTCTACAAATATGTTTTTGCAGGTTACGTGTGAGAATATTGTTGGTTAACTGTTGTCGATGTAATTTCGTTTTACGTGGAAAGGGTATCTTTATGAGAAGAATATAGGCCTATAGGTATTATTTGTAATATAGCTATGGATGTCAAAGAAATTATTTTGCACAGTCTGGGTGACATGTAATAAATGAATGAATAAATAAATATCAAATATTAATAAGAAATGTCAAATTTTGGTACATTCCTAATAAATTGTTATAGGTGGATTAACTTGTAAAACTATGCTAATGCTAGATCTCATGACAGTGGGTTCTCAGATGTGACCAAGTTTTTTGAGCCAAGTATTTTAAATAAAGACACACAAGCAGCTGCACACATTTTATCTTGCGTTAATGTGTACTGATTCCCATCAGTAATTGCTCTCTAATGGCAGGTGGAGAGGGTGGGATCTGGCATCGCGGCAGCTCTCCAATGTCCAAGAGAACAAGGTCCTTGTTAATTACTACCAATTACCACAAATTTTGGCTAATCATTTGAATCCTCTGCGATGGTGATAAAGAGTCATGTTTCTGACCTTCTTTCAAAGCATCGCACAAATAGTCGACTGAGATCATATTGAATTCAGATATTCAGAGAACTTCCCCATAAAGTTAGGAAAAGTGTCATGGTGCTCATGGGTGACTTTTTCTGCTTTACTAATAGAGAGACTGTAAAAATGAACTAGCCATGTGAAAAGACAATTCATTTCTTTTTTTCCCTGTTACAGGAGAAAAGAAAGAGTCCACAGATTTCTAATCATTTACTGTAGATTCAGAGCTATCTACTTATGCCACCTAGAAATAAAGTGAAGGGTTCTGTATGAGATCCTAGCAGTAATTTCAGCAAAGTGTCCCTAAAGGTTAAACAGAGATGGGGAAGAAACTATCTTAGACCTCTATCTGCTCAGTGCAGAATACTTCACAGAAACATTTCCAGCATGATAGAGATGCTTTTAATGGTTTTGTCACGTAGGCAGATGCATCTGTTGAAATATGTTAACAGTGCTTTGCTTTTTGTCTCTAATTTTTTTTCTTAATTTAAATGTACAAGTGTTGATTTCTTTCACTTAAATTAATTACCTTAAGTCTCTGCTGGAGATCATCATAGGTAGAAAATAACAAATAATATAGAAAGTTGTTTTTCTGTTTTTAAGCACACTGCTTTTGTTGTTGTTGCTGTTAATATTCTTAAGGCGTCCCAAGACAGACATCTTTTCTCTTCGAAATCCTTTACATTACCTTTACATAAGCCAGTGGATTCTCTCTCCAACATTTCTCTTTTCAAAAGTTGGATTTTGTCCTTATACTTTTATTCCAGACACCTCTTTTTCACGGAGGAAAAAGTTCTTGTTTTATCCAGCTAGTGACCTTATTTTTATAGCCATCCTGAAATCTTTGAGTATGTGTACACTCAGACGCCCCTTGGATGTCGTTGGCATGTCTCCGAAGCAATTTTCTCAACTATGAATAATTCACCAGATATTATTCCAAAGGTCATCTTATAGTAATTAGTACCCTGCTGTTGACTAAACAGCCTCTAGGTACCTGATGGCCAGTTTAATTACAATTTGAAATGAGTGTACTGTTTGACAATCTCTATATGTTCTCCTGACACTTCAACAGATGACACCTTGAGAACTAAGTAGGCTTACAATAAGTTGGTGCTTGTTAGCAGATGGGAATGAGGGTGCGGGGTGTATGTGTGTGTGTGTGTATGTGTGTGTGCATGGCAAGCATTCAAGTCACTGTAAGGATCACAAAGTTCTTTCTGTTCAAATATGCAGTAATTACTGGAAATGCAGATTTGTGTAGTTGGGTATGTGTTTTGACAGTGCAGACATCCTTGGGACTTTCACTGTCTCATTATTAACCAATTACCATGGAAAACTAATGGGGCAGGTCAAAGCCAGCTCTCTTAAGGAGATTGGGGACTGAGCATATGCTGAAGATGCTACGAGATGACACAGTCCAGAAAGGCTTTGAAGTCTTACAAGCTACATGACATGACTCTTTGTGTCACACAAGTTAGGAGTCAGTGCCAAGAGATCCTGTCATGTCCTGTTGTTGTGAGCATCAATAGTGTACTGTATGCCTGAGGTTCCCCCTCTGAGGTCTTGTGTATTCATGAAAGTATAGTGGATAAAGCATTAAGCCAGAAGGGCCTCAGGTAGAATTCATAGCCCAAGGGGATTGTTGAGGCTGTTTTACAGTTTGCCTTTGAGGCATCAAAGTTCTCATGGATGGATAGATTGAGAGATGAGTACTTGGCTGATGGATGACAGGGACGGTCAGATGCATGGAAGACAAATACACCCGGTAAAGTTGTATTAAAAGCAACAACAACAACAATAATATATTATATTCACTTATCCTAAACCTAAATTAACTACTCGTTTGTTCACGACACAGTCCTGTTGTTGTCTTCAAATGGTTTCAAATCATACTTTGGTGTTTCACAAGAGGACTATTTGGAAATAGGAGTTTTTTCTGCTGTCTTATTTACTGTTTTCTTCATCTTCTATATGCAGTTTCAGCAAACTTTGTTTAAAAAAACCCATACAAACAGTATTTTATGTGTCATGGGGTGCAATGCATGCCTGGTGGAAATACAGTCTTAAATAGATGCGATGGGATTGCAACTTAGACACATTTTCCTGTGTCCTATGGTCGTTGTCAAGATATTGTTCAACAACTGATTAACAAGATAGATTATGGAAGGGCCACTGGGGAAAAAACAAAAACAAAAACTGGGCATGTCTTTTTTTTTTCTTCTTTTCCAGAATTCTGAGAAAAAAGGCTGAATTCTAAGAAAAAACTCAACATTCTGAGAAAAAAACTCAAAAAATTATTTTTTCTCAGAATGTTGACTTCTTTCTCAGAATTCTGAGAAAAAATAATTCTGATGAAAAAAGTCAGAATTCTGAGAAATTCTGACTTTCAGCAGAATTTTTCTCAGAATGCTGACTTTTTTCATCAGAATTATTTTTTCTCAGAATTCTGAGAAAAAACGATTTTTTTTTACTTTAATCTCAGAATTCTGACTTTTTTCTCAGAATTCTGGAAAATAAGAAAAAAAAAAGGTTGTCTCAGAATTCTGAGATTAAAGTCAGAATTCTCTTCCATTATAGATTGATGGATAGAGAAATTCTTTAAATTCTGTGTCTAGATCTTTCTGAGTGACTCACAAATTATGCATGTATTATTGTTACAATGCTTATTCTAATCTTCTTAAAATTTGCCGCTGACAACCCTTTATAATATCAAAGTAAAAAACAACAAAACTATTTAAAACTTACCGAAAACCACAAACTAACTTAAACTAAATTGAAATCAAAAATTAGAAATTAGATAAAAAACAAATAAAAGATACAATCCAACAGTTGCACTGGGTCTTATTCTACCACTTGGTACAGTCTGAACTGCTGAATTGCAAGTGATCAACAGCAGTTGAACTATTGGAATTGTTTCCACTGGTTTCAAAGTCTCTCTGTCTGTTTGTCTGTGAATTAGGCAGCAAAATGGGAAAAACGTCTTGTTGCATTGAAATTTAGGTGATTTTGCTTTTTTAGGCGACACCTTGACAGTGCAGTTTAAATTTAGGTGAATCAGCTTCTCAGACAGCATGCTGAGGTGTGAACTCTTTACATTATTTCCTCAGAAGTGCTAATTTGCAGAAGTGAAAAAAAAAGGTGACATGTCACTTCCCATTTGATCGATCGTCTATCATTAGCTTGTATTTGTCATAATTGGAATATGATGACAGTATGCTCTCACGTTGCTTCGCTGATACACCACTGCTCTTAGAAAACCTTATCAAACAATAATTAACAGTGAAGGACAAACATGATCCATTAATTCTTCAAGGACTCAATATTTAATGGCTCAAGTAAAATTCAATGACAGGAAAAATCATTTCACCATGTAAGTTAATTTTTTTCATAGATTTATGTGGGATATCTTACAAAGGCATAACAACACAGACTGTATAGCTTTAACTAAGAAATACAGATTCGCTGGCAAGCACTGAAGCCTTCTCTCAACGCAAACTTGACCTGACTCACTGATGACTAATTTACAAGCATATACTTAAGTCTTATATCGTATTTTGATATAGTTTTTTACAAGATACATTAGTGTACATAAAATACTCTGGCAATGTACATGCCAGTATACACACCCACCCACGCATACATGCAAGGAAATACACGCTCTCTCATTTACACACATACAACATCACTTGTTAACACTTTCAAACACACCCTCATTGATATTATGTATCAATTTACATTACAACTGAGATTGTCATCTCCTCAGTTCTCACTTTTTTCCCTTTTGCAGTTTTTATGAACAAAGTGATTTGTAGTATTGAAGTAGGCTTTAGTATTTACCATGTGTGTCTTTCCAGTTTGTGACCCTTATTACTAGTTCTTAGGGGTACTGCTATGTACAGCTTAAATTCCGGTTTACCTGACAGTATAGATGTATAGATAGATTTGTGTGCACGTAGGCGTAAGTGGTATGCACACGTCACAAGGATTGACCATGTACATGGTGTAACATTGGTTTGTTCCATAAGACAGACAAACGTGTAAAGCAGTAAACATCAATACTGACATCAATTCTAATGACTGATGCATGAACCACGTAGTCAAGTGTCAAAAGGCCTTGTGGAAGTTCAAACAGTTCATGCAGTTTATGACACAGCTTGACATGTTAATCATGAAACACATTTCGAATAGAAATAGTCTTAAAATAAAAAGGAATCCTCATCTTTATGTATAGCGTCGTCTCTACATCTATTGCTAGGGCGTAAGAAATTTAAAAAACTCAAAAGTAATAGTGAGAGCAGAATCATGCAAAGTCGACATTTAGTCTTTCCATTTGATGTTTTTTAACGGATGAAAATTTTTGACAAAGAGAGAGTACTTACTTAAAAAAAAAACAAGACATTCATATGGTATGCACTTTGTTCTGAAAATAAATAAAACACCACTTTGACCTGTGAGAGGACATAAGATATAACAAAATGAATGCGGGCACACAACAATAATAAAAGAAAATCATATTTTTGCAAAAAGCAACATCCTGCTGGTGTACATTCATGCAGTTGCTATAGTATTCCCTCTAAAAGTAGTATTTCATGTAGTCTTTAATGGATCTGCTGCAATATTACAGTACATAGGAGTTATGTAGGCAGAGTAAGTCAAAACACAGGGTACAGTTAGTATTGTGCTCACGTTGCATGTGTGACTGGGCAGTGTATTTTAAACAATCACATTTTTATTACAGTGTAACAGTGTGTTAACTCATACATGTTCTCTTAGATACACTCTTTTCATGATATGAGAACAGTACAGATTACCATATTTAGAAACAAGCTGACATTACCTATACTGATTGAATTAATTAATGGGTACATTTCTTAAAAACCTAATTCTTATTGTGGAAAAATGTTACTAAGATTTTTTTTTTTACCCTTCACATAGCTGTAGACAGAACTTGAAAAGACTTTTAATGATTTTGAGACAGGTTTTGGATTAGACGTTGTGATGGCAGATATGAAGTGCTGGATCTGTATTTGGCAGAGATAAAATTCCAATTTTCAGTGACATCATGATGTATGTTCCTTTTGATATGTGCTCCTTTTGATTAAAAATGCATTGTTCATATCATTGTGCGATGCCCGCCCCCCCTCCCGCACTCCTACACCAACACCAGTGGAATCATATGAAATGAAAATGATAGAGAAAAGAAAATGAAAGTATTAGTAAATAGGTCGAAACTGGATTCCCAAACAGGGCAATTTCCATCAGTGTATGTTTATAGGAGGATTTAACTTTTGAATTTGATTCATTTTCATAATTGACTAAGGTGAAATTGAATTGCCCCTTCTTTTTTTATTTTTAGTCCTTGACGCCGTTCCTTTAAGTGATCGTTTCACAAAGTCTCTGATAAATCCCCTTTATAAGGATAAGAGCTCTGATCTGAGAGAATAGGTGTGGCAACTAATAGCATACTAACACAATTTGCCTTGCACCCTCCCTTGAGAATACTGTGTTGCATTATAGATTTAGGCCTGTTCCCAATTTGCAAGGTGGTACTACAAAATGAATCACATGAATCATATACCTGATGATGTAGACACCTGGCTTGGATGTTACAGGCAAGAAAAATGGATATCAGCAAAGTCACTTATTGCTGTAGCAATAGATTATACTGCACCCAATCTGTTACAGCAGGAAGTTAGTCTGAAGTAGTTATTATCATCAGTACAATTTGCACACACCGGCAGTGATGTAGTGTGTTTATCGAACCTTGTGAGCGACAGCCTGCAGGGAGGGCCTTTCAAATAGTACCGATTCCTATTCTTATGATAACTGCCAAAATAACATTAACATCAATAATTCAGCTAGACTCAAAGCCCTGAAGAAATTTTTGCTCCCTGGTCTATTATTCCAGTGTCAACACATTGTAAAAACTGATAATAGAAACTTTGCAGTGTAACTTAGTGAAATGAAAACAGAGTAGTAATTAATAGCAGGAACACAGGTGTTAAAATACAGTGGGAATAAAGGAAGTGTTAAGCTGCTTTTGCTGTGTTATTGTCACCTTTACACTTCGTCTGCACACGCAGAGCATGTTTTAGGAAAAGCAATAGATTTAATCCAAACCTCCAAACCACAATGAGGGTCACTACAGAGATCACACATCAAAGTAATTAGACTGAGAATTTCATAATTGGCTCCAGAGCTGTTACCATTTGAATGTTTCTCAGCAGCAAAATGAGAGAAATAGAAACAAAAAGGAAGAAAACAGAGACGGCATTTCCAAAGCGCATCTGTCTGCTCCTTTCAAGGCTAAGCTACTGCGACAATGCTAAGTGTGAACATTTTCTTAATAGAGTTGGCAGGCATAGAGCAATCACCACATATGAAAAAAAAACAAAACAAAAAACGTATGTGTATGTGCAAGGCTTTGTGTTTGTGGGTTTTTTTATGCATTGGTCCAGGGTGAGAATGTAGAATTGTAGAATGCAAAAGAATGCAAAAGACGAAGATGCAGCACTGTCTACTATTGGCCCAGTTATACTTTGTAGACATTTTTTATCCTTCTGAAGCCCCTTGACCAAAATAGTCTTCTAAAACATGTCCAGACAAGACAAAAGAAACATATTCCTCCACCAAAAAGGTTTGTGCCATGTGCTTTACAAAGCAATACTTCACTAGAACATCAACAGAAAAAACAAAACAAAAAAAAAACATCCACTCAAGAGTTTGTAATTAGCATTTAGCCCAATTTAGCTCACATAACACAAAGTACTGCATTTGCTTTTGCTTTTGTGCAGGGAAATTGTCTTTTGGAATGCACTTACACAAAACTAAACCCAAGGAGCTGAAGGTGTACACTGGCCTTTTTTATCGCTAAGCAAACTTCACCAAACAGAAAGCAAGATTATCCTTTTTTTGTGATGGATCTACTTTGGCATATAACCATTTATTTATTATACATGTGTCTTCTATGTTAAGACTTGCTTGCTCCTTCCTCGCTTGTCAGACTGGTTTCACATGATTTCTTTTTTTAACATCATCATAATCTCCAATCCATTCTTGGATATCTTAATTAGTGAAACTGAGCTTGAGCTGGTCATTGAGCTGGTCAAGTTATTCCAATTATGCATACCCCACAAATACGCATACATACTAATCTAATAGTTGTAGGCCATCTTTGGATGGAGTCACGTGTATGCTAAGCCAATGAAGATCCGTGTTTTACTATTACAACTGGTTCTCATGTAAGAAAGAGCTGCCCCCCCCACCAGTCTGCTGCCCGGGAGAGGAGAAGCTTGCCAGGGGAATGACCTTGATGGGGTCCTCCTTCTTACTGCAGTGTCTATCCAGGGTGTTGTAGAACTGTGGACGATTGATCCCTTTGTCCAGTTCATCTTTTTTGGGCACAGACCTGCCCAACGTATGGCGGCCATCCATGACCCCCATGCTGCCCATGTTAGCTTTTATTCCCCGGGCACAGCTCTGCTGGAAACCAAAAGAGGGGAGGGCAGCAGTGATGGCAGTAGTGGTAGGGGTGGAGATGGGGCTGTTGCTGCCAGGACCCTGGAACTGGGCCAGGGCTGGGGGCATCCAGCAGCTGTCAGAGTGGCCTAGTATTAGACACTCCTGGGTACAGGTCTCAGAGGCCTCAGCCAAGGCTTTCTGCAGGTTTACCTCGATGGCTGTAAAAAAGCAGACAAAGAAAGACGGGGAAAAAAACAAAACAAAGTTAAAACAACAGGTCAGAACATACAGAGAACTGGAAAACAACAATTTTACTGTGGTGATGTAAAAGGGCTGAATGAACTCGTGAATCATAATGCAAATAAAAGAAAGTTGTCCACTTATCAATGGTTGACCCAGAAAATGTCAGCCTTTTAGTGAAATGAAAGTCAGTGATAAATGTTTCATTTCATCTTGTAATGAGAAAAACACCAGCAGAGCATTTAATTTCCATTGGTATTCCCATGACTCTGTCTGTTTACCTACAATATGCACTGAATTCCCTGTAGCTTAATTAGTTAGAAAAAAATGTCTTGCTGTTTGTGTCTTGGATTGGCTTTACTGTATTCAATTTTTAATGAACATCTTAACAAAATACTGTTTATTTTAATCACTGTCAATGTGCCACTCCTTAGACTCCTTTGATCTTTTAGAATCCAAAATAAATCTGGTTAAATAAGCTGTGAAAAAGATACGAATCATTCCAGAATCTTATTCAGGTAAAATTCATGCTCGTTGGGCCAAGAATTAGGCTGCACGCTTGGAAAAATTAGGGGGAAAAAAACAAAAAATCTGAAAACTCAATGAAGAGGCAAAATGGGCAAGGCTAAGCACTCAGACTATCTCATCTTATTATCCCAGAACTGACATCACATGTGGAATGAGTCTGGGATGAGACCTCAGCATTGAGCCTCTGCAATAAAGTCTGTCATGCCAGATAATTAGAATGTAAAACAGTATGCACCAAGGCAACCAGAAGCCTGCATTGTTATGGTTCCTAGGCCATGCAAAGGCAAGAGGGGTCCTCATTCAGACATCACATCTCTCCTCTAGGCCTCAGCTTCAAGCTGTCATGCAGAAATTATTTAGTGTATTTGCATAAGTAAGAATGCTTTAAATAATTAAGGCGTCTTAGACCCTAGTACGCTGGAAAGACTATTTCTTCCACACGCAATTCTACATAGTCTATGTGAGTCTCTTTCCCAGACAGCTTCCTATCACCTTGTTTATTGTTTTATGGCTTTTTATGAATGAAAATGAATATCGTGATTACCGTCTAGTAGTAATACGAATTGTCTTGATTGCTGCGTAACGGCACGGCGAACATGCTTTGTATATCGTTGCTACCCTACACTGAATACCACGACGTCAACTTTAATTATAAGAGTAGCTACTGAAAATGAATCACCTGGTATAAATTGTAAGGATATATTTGAAGTATCCACGTGGAGTCAAATCTGTCCTCTCCATATTGAACTGAAGCCGTGAAGCGGGAGTGTATAAATCCCCTGGGCGGTAAATGTGTCACCTTTCAAAGGGTCACTAACTTAATTAAGGGAAAAATGGATGCTGCTTTCTCATTCTCTGAGCTAGGACAATGGGGCCAAGCCAAGTCTCGGCCGTGCGCTGATTCAATCTTTCTCCAAGTGTTTTCTCCTGTTGGTAATGCCTTTTTAGGTTGCTGATGTTTTTGATTAGGTAATGTAATTAGCATAAATGCCCTATTACCCACCCAGACACACAGAAAATGTTGCCTTGTCCTGGATATTTTTCCTTCCTCTTCAGATTCTATTTAAAGGTGACGCTTTTACAAATGAAAGGTACGTTTTCCCTCTATGACTTTAGACAGACTGAACTCATCGCATTTCTATGTCAACAGCCTTCAATGCCTACAAATTTTATATGAAATATTTACCGACCCGCCTCTCTCAACGACATGGGCTTGTACTATTTTCTATTCTGGTGGGGTAGTTTGGATAGGCGGCGGCGGCGGGTTCGGGAGGGTGGGCACACGGTATGAGTGATGTCGCTGACAGCTCTTGCTGCCTTCGTCAGCTAGAGGTATGCCGCAGCCTGCTTGTGATGCCGCTGTCTTTTGTATTCAGGGGGAACAATTGTACCCCACGGAGCTTTTGGGAGAAATCACACATCACTGATGCCACAGATCCCCTGATGCTGTGAACATACTTTTCTACATTCCCTTCAAGGAAATTTGAATGGCAGACAAGTGGGGATAATAGCAAACAATGAGTTGTAATAGAAGTGAGATCAGACGTAGTGTTCTCGTTTAAGATGATTTATTTTTACTGAGTAGCATGCGTTTGAAAAATAACTGTGATAACTGTTTATTCTGTTAATTTAACATTTAATAAAAGCAATTACTGTAAATAATTGTTTCCTTCCCAAATTAAATACTGTTTGCTTTATGGCCTGTTTGATGGTCTAGGTGATCTATTCTGCATTTTTAGACAGTGTGTCACACTTTCGGGAATATGCATACCAGCCGTACCTTTCAGCATTCTTGTTCTGCAACATCAACACATCCTGTGGCCAGCCACAGATCGAAAACTGCTGCATTCACCTTCAGCTGACCTTCCATTTGGTGTGGTCAAACATTTACAGCTTGTATAAATATTGAACAAGTGTAAGAGAAAGGTGTGAGGATGCTGGATGGTGTGTAAACCATTCCCAAAATGTTTTTCTGGGTGCTGAATGAAAATATAGAACAAATAACATCCCGCAATTTGACTTTAAACCAGGTGGGGTTGATATAATGCAAATGCCTCTCACTAATGGGAGTACTTGCAATCTTTTAATTAAAAATATAATGGGGTTGAAGACAATGCCTGGAATGTGTGCAGCATTTTACAACTTGGTCCAATAACTTTACACAACTTTGTGAGGTATACTATGTTTGCTCAGACTTTTAAGTTGTGTAATTTATGTTTTTTTTAGCTGAAAAAAATAATATCAGCACTGATATCACATGAAGATGTTTTTCACTCTGCTTGGTCCAGTACACCAACAAAAGCAATTAAAAGCTGCATAAACCCATTTTGGAGGCAGACATAACAAAGTGTCTAACTGTGTTATAGCATACAGATGGTCATCTTGTTTTTTACAGCCTCTGTTAAAAGACATTTTATATTATTCTAGTCATCTGGGGTTCAGGTGACACGCTGATAATAATCTTCCTTTAAGTGTAGTTTTAATCTTATCCCAGGAAACAAATTCATGTTCTCTTAGCCATCCAGGCTATTCCCACATCACTTTTCTATGTCAGTTCATACCACATAATGCTTGGCTAACGGCTAGTTTGGCATATGCTCTCATAAAAAATGAGCAGCCAACTCACATTTTGCCATTTTTATGTAATGAATAGAACAGCTTCTGCTAACTCTTAAATTACTGTGGGCAAATCCTTTCTGTTGGCACGTAACCAGCATTAGTTATTTTCACTGGACCAGCTGACCAGTCAGATTGTGCTTATTCGTTAATCATTACTTTCATTTTTTTGCTTAATGATGTTGTTTGGCAAACTCAAATAAATTGGTAATTTCACAACTGCCTTTCGCCCACTCTGCAATCCAAGAGCCTAGAAGAATTCAGGCAGCCCTCTTGAACTTACACTCACGCACTACAGCTGGTGACACAGGATGCCATTTAAGTTGATGAGGGCTTAGTGCTTCGGATTGCATTCAGATTCACTTAATTTTTTTTCATGACCATAAACTTCATCAGAACATGTATGTTCTAACAGGCAGAAACACAAATGGACACACACATACATAGCTAGGATCAATTTAAGCAGCTTATTGGGCCTTTTCAGTACAATAGCATGAGATATTTAACATGACAGTTGATGATATTTACCGACAAAGCTTGTTACATCTTGATGAGCTTCACATTAAGGTCTGCACACATATCACGATTCAACTCATTATTTCAGCATGCACAAACTCATTATTGCTAATTAAAAGGATAATTGCATGCATCTAGGACATTAAATTCTTCCAACAGCCATCAAGAAGGTGGACTAGGCCTGTGACTCATCCTACAGAGTTAATTGGTTCAGTCTTTGCAAATCTTTTGCAAGAAACTTGCATGCATCTATGCATCAAACGCATTTACTCTCAAATGAAAGCCATATTATATATTTTTGAATTAATGCATGTGTCATTTAGTAAAATTATTTTTAACAGAAAGACTATAGAAGTTATTTATAGTACAAAACTTTATTAATGTAGAAACATTCATAAAAATTATTTAATATAAACACATCTTTCTCCACCTCAAACAATCTGATTATTAAATGGTGATGTATGGATGCTCATAGCACTATTCCACACTCCAGGCCTGTACTGCATTGACTGAGGATCTTATTTTCAACAAGCTGCTGTGCTGTGTTGTTGTGCCTTTTATCAAATATACATAAATCCTCAAAAAAACTGTTAAATTGTTATCCAACCCATCTATATTCTTGGTTCATTTATACCACACCTTTAAGCTAAGCTTTTAAATTCCCATGATGCACAAAACAGCCCCCGGGCTCATAGTCTTCCACTAATATTTTATTGCTTTTAAAAGCACAAATCACTACCTGGCCACAATTTTCAGATATTTCAGAAAAAAAAAAGCTTAAGGTCACACTTTCAGGAGCAAAAATTTCAAAGTATATAACAACATATTAATTTGCACCATGTGTTTAGGATCTGTCTGTCTTGCTGCACAGTCGCAGTTTTCTTCATTTTCAACATCTCTGCCCTTCCATATAATAGAGTTGAATACGATTCCATCCTAAACGTGTAAAAGATATTGCCAGTGTTATATTTATAGTCAAAAAATGCCCCTGTAGCTATGGATTTGCTGATACTAATTTAACCTCACTGACATTTCATTTTTCATCTGCATTTATGTAGAGTTACAACAGCTTCAGTCAATTTGACACCAACAGGAATAACAGTGCCAAAAGATGCAAGAGCCTTTTAAAATGAAGTCTGCGACTTTTATCAAAAGTTATCAAACCAGGTAACACAGTTATCAAGAGTGCAGACTGAGTGTTATTATACATTATATGTTCTTGTTTGTTAGATAGGAAATGAGAAAGAAACTGGGAAAAGAAAAGAAACAAGATACACTCTGTACAAGCACGTGTCTTGTCTCTGGAGGGAGACCAACA